GGGGAACTGCATCAGAGTCAACCGGTTGGCCGCTGCGTCTGTCAATGGAGGGCATGGGCGTGGTCCTGAGCTGCTAGCCAGATGAGCTTCTTCTCCTTTGGGGTGAGAGAGGAGGACAGGATGACGTAGATGTCGTGCCAGGTCAGGTTATAGTACTGGATCAGGTACTCAAATTCCTTAGTAAAGGTGATCAGGTCAGTGGAAAAAGCCCCAAGATGCCTCTCCATCAGTGTGAGGTTGGACATGGAAAATGGGATGTGTACCCGGACAATACCTTCACCCCAGTCACCTCTCGGAGGGGAAGGACAGGGGCTGGAGGCTGGACTGTCTGGGAACAAAGAAGAGGGGGGGCTTGGTAAGAAGGTTGAGGGGGTGGACAAAGAGGTGGATACTGAAGGAGGAAGGAGGAACATAAGGAGTTGGGTTCAAGGACACTGGGAGGAGAATGGAGAATTGAGTAACTGGAAGGGTTGAAGGAAGGGTCTGAGGGACCTGAGGGGTCAGGGAAGGACGGATCAGAAGCCCCAAGGTGGAAAGGTCCAGTCTTAGCAAGTGGAATGTGGTCTAAGCAAAACGGAATGTCGGTTGTGAAGTGGTCTAAAGGTCAGTTGACAGGGGAAGAGGGTATTGATTCAATTATTTGATCAGACCTAACAGTGGAAGAATGCAAAGCGGGTGAGGAGGGACCTCTGGGATTGGATAAAAAGTAAAATAATAGATACATACTTCTTTTACTTAAGTGGGTTGAGGGTAGTTAACAGTCAACAACTAACTCAATAACAATGAGGGGATTTGTGGTCTCTGAAGAGAGGTGCCTGTGCTTTGAGGGGTCCAGAAAAGGAAAATTACTTTGACATTCCAAAGATAGGTTACCGTAGATGCAAAAAGACAATAGACAGGCTCAGTTAAGGTAAAGATTGAACTTCGTCAGAGAAGATACCAGTCTAGGACAAGACTACCCACCATAAACTGTTTTTTAGCTTTGTTTTGTTTTGTTTTTAATTAAATCTTTATTGTTCAGATTAGTACATTTGTTCCTCTTTTTTCCCCCCCTTAACTCCCCTCCACCCAGTTCCCACCCCACCCTCCGCCCTTACTCCCCACCCACAGTCCTCATTCATAGGTGCATGATTTTTGTCCAGTCTCTTCCTGCATCCCCCACACCCCTTTCCCCCCAAGAATAGTCAGTTCATTCCCTTTCTATGCCCCTGATTCTATTATAATCACCAGTTCATTCTGTTCATCAGATTATGTATTCCCTTGATTTTTAGAGGCACTTGTTAATAGATGTGTATTTGTTGTTCATAATTTGTATCTTTACCTTTTTCTTCTTCTTCCTCTTCTTAAAGGATACCTTTCAGCATTTCATATAATACTGGTTTGGTGGTGATGAACTCCTTTAGCTTTTCCTTATCTGTGAAGC